CAACTGACCTCTCACCTTGGCCATGTCCTGGGGAAAGTCAGGGGAACAAATGGCAGGGACTCTCGGTGAGGCTTTCTCCTCATAACAGTGCATGTACAGATGGTAGATGGACAAGCAAGATGCTGGCTTCACACATGGCATACGTGAGGCTCCACGCGTGGCCCCTGGCCTCCCTGCCGACTTCGTATCTTGCTGTTGGAACGTAGAACAACCTCCTCCCCCCCGAAGACTGAGTGGCAGTGTATTAGGCTTTACTTCGCTTGTCAAGTTTTATCTAATCACCTTAGACTGAGGAATATTCAGGTTTGGCTCTCTGCTAAACTTTTATTTTGCTTTTTGTACTCTGACGTGTGCACTCTCGTGTTATGCGCAGGCATGTTTTACTTGGAATGACTATCCAATCATATCGTCCTAGACATGTCATCCGCAAAGTGCTTACTTTTTGGCACTTTCTAATCGTCGCCTTTGAATGCCAATCACCAAGATTCTTATTGAGTCCCTCAGAGTGCACAATCGTAGGCATACTTCATTTCGACCAAGAAAGTTTACTGGCACTCTTGCGGGGTGGAGCAGCACCGCAACGAGATCCGACAGAAAGTATCTCGAAAAAAAGCCTGATGAAAATACGTGTGTGAATCGTTTAATTTGTCACTGTATACACACTCTCTTATCTATGGTACAAAAGCTTTGCATATTTACATTTGCCAAAAGTCGCTCGCCGTTCAAGTATCGTCGAGCACTATTACCTCTGCGCTTTCCCCCCCTATTCCATTATCTCTCGAGCTCTTCACGTCCCTCATCTTTTCATATCCCTCTTGGTGATGTGAGGTAATTTCTGGCGCAGGACAAGAAGTCATGGAGAACTGAAGACGCGTGTCGTTGCCGAGCTCGCCTTGCGGTCCGGGTCTTTCTTTCCCTTGCTCCTCGTCTCCGTCGTCGTCTATCGTCACAAGCTCACACACCCCCTCCTCACTGGAGCCCACTGATGAATCATCGAGTCCGGATGACTCCCAATCAGCGTCATCGGCATCTTCGTCGTCCTCCTCCTCCGTGTCGCTGCCTCCCTTCCATCGATCGCGGTCCTCTTGTGCCAACTCACGAAGGATGGATTCGGACTTATCCGACAAAGGGCCTGAGTCCTCGGCTGATTCCAAACGCTCTTCCTTTGCTTCTCGCATCTTGCCCTCCGTCGATATCAGGAGTTTGGCCATTGCGGCATTTCCAGTTTTCTTGTCAACTCTCCAACTACCCTTGCCACTCTCTTCTTTCCCTTCCGCTTCCTCCTCCGCCTTCTCCTCCGCCTCCTCCCCTTCTAGCCCCTCCCATGCCCCCCTAATCTCCTTCTTCTTCTCCCAATCGTCCTCTTCCATTTCACCTTTCTTTTCTCCAGTCTTTTTGGCTCCTCCCACGCTGACTTCCTCCCTTCCTCCTTCCTCCT